TGGAATTTCCTACACAGAATAATGATTCCTTGTCCAATACCTATAAGAAAATCATGGCTTGGACCACCAAACAGATGTATCTTTTGGGCTGAATAACTTTGGAACATCATCAAATTTACTTGGGGATAGATGCAGCAAAGAATGGTGGAAGTGCGTTCAAAAGAATCCCAAATCAGATACAAATAAAGACACACTTGGAAGAGGAAGAAGATTTTCATGACAGGGCTAAATCAAAGGTTTTGATTAAAATGGCAGTTGTAATTCTACATATGAAAGTCAGCTGATCTTTGTCAACCTAGATTTGTAATATTGATGAAAGGCAACCATACAACTCTATGACCTGCCTCAGTTCTACACAACTTAATACAAAGGTTTCTGGCACTAACATTCATTGACTTTCCTGTTATATAAGGCTTTTTTTGTTTGTTTGTTTACTCAAATATTTACTTGAAATATATTGTTTAAAAAAAATAAAATTACCAAGTCATGCCAAACATTATATAAAAAAATTGAAACTGAAAAGTCCTGTTCCATCAGTTGCTCTGATTTTCTTTGCTGAAAATGCTATAACACGTGAGGGAACATTACATGAAGTTTTTATATTTTGTTCTCATATTTACTACAATAGAAACCCTTTTCTTTTTGAAATAAAATTATTGTTGCAACATTTTTATTAGAAAGATTCTGAGGTAAAGGATCCTATTATAGATTCCTTCTTTGAAATAAATCCTGAAAAGCTTCTTGCTGAAAAAAATTATTTCTGAAATTTTGAGGAGTCTGAAGGAACTCTGAGGAATCTGACAGCTAGCACACCACATGTGCACTTTTCTTCTCACCATCTCACTCCAAAATAATCCTTTGAGAAAATAAACAACCTGTTTCAGCGTTACTGAGTTCAAACAGATGCAAATTCTCCATTACTGTAATACACTTTTGGTTAATTTTCTTGGTATGCACTGTATGTTAGTGAAATTAAATGTAATACACTACTTTGAAAATTGTTTATTTCCAAATGAGCTATTGCAAAAAAAGAAAATATGAGTATGCAATAGTATTTGAAAGCCCTTACAAATTGTTGGATGTACATCATAATTCACCCACTGCAAATCTTGGCCACAGAAATGGAAACCATTAGCAAAACATTAAAACAAAGCTGGAAACTGCTGATTATCAGTTTGCCACTGTCTTCAGATTTAATGCAGTACTTGGCTTAAAAAGTTCTTTAAAAATCCCCAATATAAGTGAAAATATTTACAAAATAGAATGTCTCTCACTTAATGCCTATTGGGCAATAGTCTTTTAAAACTCCACAGACACTTGTAAATCTGTCAAAAGAATCACTGCCCATAAACAAACTTTCACGTAAAGAGCATTTCAGTGTCAATCAGACAGGATTTGGAATTTTTTAAGCACCATTTTTAAAGTAAACGCAAAACCAGAAATAGTTTAATGTTGATAACAGTAAATTACTAACTATTTACTCACCAGAACCCACCAGTAGCATTTACAGGAATCATCCTGACAGTGAAACCGAGTATCAACACCATGAATTCCTATAAACCTGTCACTGACACTATCCCCCATGAGTTATGCCACTGTGAAAGCTGTTAAGCCCCCGCCCCCGCCTGTTCAGAGCCTGGCAGGTTATACTGCCAAGATTGCTATTTTATTTTCTTGTTATAACGCAGGCTCGTCTTTGAAAGGAGGGTTACTATTTGATAAGTCTTTTTTAGAACCCTTACCTTTTCTGTTTCAAAGGGGATTGGAAACCATACCGCAAATGAATTCAATGTAGCACGAAATAACCCCAAATTTCTGTATGAGAGGATCCATGATTTTTCAC